AAATCATTACGTAATTTGTATTTATGTATAATTTAGTTTTTGGACCTGCAATTATAACCAGGTGAATCACTTTCCTAAAACTGCATTGATATACTAGTGAGTTTTATTTTGTCTTTCAAAGCCTACAGGTACAAAGTGTTCTAATTAGTGTTATGAGCCCTACAGTACATGTATCTGCCCTGAGGAAGTCTCATTATAATATCCCAATAATGTTTTACCAACCTATTATAATGTTTATTTTATAGATACCGGTAATATCTGATTCTCAATGTCCTAAATATAGTATAAAGAGAAGTAATCAGATACGCCCAGCTAACACCTGTTTTAAATTTTTGACTAGTACTTCCAATAGAGAATTAAAGCGGGAGGGTTGTCACCTGCACACGTGCGGGAATTGAGTCCCAAGCGACGATAACAACACACGCTGAAAACGCAAAGGCTCATGGGCAGACGCTTGTAAACAATGACACGCTATGGCCATCTGACGCATGCGCAGATGACGACTCCCCCGCTTTAATAATCAGCCAGAATGTGCCTATACACTATAAAGTTATGGACTGAGCTGTAATTTCTTTTTGTGAGTTTTGAACCAAATGGAAATACTTTCCTATTGGCGACAGGTCTTGACCAATATTTTGGAAAAAAAATATATGGAAAAAAATTATCCAGGTTATGATGTTTTACAGGACTGTGTGTGTTTAAGTCACCTGCTTTAGTACTCAAAACAAGTTTTCAGAAATTAAATAGGGAGCAACTCGCTGCCCCAATATCTTTGAGACTACAATGTAGCTGTGAACCCCAATGACAATTATCTTATCCATAGAAGTGGCTGTTACCATATGAATCTTTTATGTAAAAGTTAAATTTGGATTTGCCACCAAGATGTTTCGTTTTGAGATTACAGCATACATGTATGCATGTGTGACATGTTTCAGTGATAGTTACATGTATATGAAATTCATAGTGAATTTATTTTTATCTGAAGGAGGTGGAACGCAATATAGTTTTCTATTTTGTGGGATTTGAAAGTTACACAAATCTTCAGCTACTTGTATCTAGGTCGATCTGAACCACATTTTTTACCGAAATGTTCACAGCTTGAGAATCGTAGAAAAAGAATGAGGAAATTATAGTTTATTTCGTATCAATCCACACTTTGAGAATCTTGAGTGATTAAAATGAATGATTGAACTCCGTAGCTTAAAACACTCAAATATACATGCTAGGGTACGTATTTTATTCAAGCCATTTTGGTTTTATTGATGGCCCTTTTCACAATATATAATGAAACCACCCAACTCTGAACTACGTACTCCATGCTAGCAGGCAGGTTGACTTTACAGAGAAAATACAACAACAGGAAATTAGGAAGATGCCGTGAAATAATACTAAAAGAATGAAACGTAATTGGGGAAAGTCTCTTGATGTCTCCAAGGCAAGACAAAATAAGTAATGCAATATCTCATTCACGAATCATGGGATTGCTTTTTGACATTTTAAAAGCTTTTCCTTTTCTCTGGAAATTGGCACACAATTAGGTTGGATCCACTTGGCATTAAAGTTAAATTTCCCAATACTTGAAGAACAAAGCTAATTTTTTTTCCAGATACTGATGTTTTTTCGGTGACACTGAGTAATTTATAAAGCTAGCTAGTAATTAACCCAAGAACATTCATGTTAAATTGTTATTATTGATGCGCTAGATTCCAAGTCTGATTCACTTACTAGTACATGTATTATTGATACCTTCACCCACAACAGTCTTAAATATATATGATCGTAAATTTTGAGCAGGGACCAAGATTTACGATGAAGGAGGAGGGATATTATCTGGTGAGAAAATGGAAGAGCTGCAAAAAAAGAGTGTGTGATTCTGGGGGGGGGGTGTTTTTCGGGTGGAGGGAGGGAGGTCATAATTTTCTTTTTTAAACATGTGACCATTCTTTACATTTTTTTTTCCTTCACAGGGAATAAATAATATCACATCAAAACCAACGGACCAATGGATGGAAAATCACAGCAGAGTTAACTCGTTACATTGAAAAATATTTGCTTCATTTGCAGGATCTACAGCATATACAAACACAGGAACGCTCAACAAAGAGAATTGAAAAGACTGCTAAAGAATATAGTGAATATAACTGGCTAGTCCTGGTGTCCGAGTTAGACAAATACCCTGTTCACCATAAACTTCATAAACATGGGAAGAAAACTAATAAGACGAAGGACATCACATGTGATATACCAACAAGTCTTAAACAGAAACCAAACTACAGAATTGGATAGCTCTGAAGATAGCAGCAATGATGGTTCATAATGCTACATGTACGATAAAGACTTTCAGTTATCCACATTAAGAAATTCTTTTGTTTTTATGGAGAATAATACAGTAGTACAAAAATGTACCAAGTAAAATCACTTTTATTAAAGTTATGGTACATACAGAAATTGTGGAACACACCACATAGTTGAAATTTCATTCAGTGATCACTTTCACTCATAAGAAATGCAAAAATGCAGTCAAATATATAACAAATTATGTTATGTCTTTATTAATTAATATTCATGTGTAATCAATAATTATGATAATTATTAAATTATTGCCAATGGGGATACTAGTAGCGGGAGGGCTATGGGTATTTTGAAGGTTTTGAATGGGGCCATGAAAAAAAATTAAGAACAATCAATGTGATTTCCCAGTGATTTGTTGTGAATCCCAAGGAAGTTTATTGCAAGAACAAAGTCCTTGAGAATTTATGACCAATATCGCAACATTTATAACACCTGTCGCTATTTTAGTTTTATGTTTACAAAATTATTTGTTTGCATAACATAATGGTTAGTGACATCATTTGAAACAAACGTTATATCGAACTTCTTCATGAATAATTAATCACATGGTGTAAATTTTCCTAAACTGTGATTTTGCTGATTTCTGCAGAATTCTGCATCACATCGCATAATATATATGACATGTAGGTCTCCCGTAATGATGAATTATGATAATTTTTCAACATTCAAATAATTGACATTTAGTCATCTCATATCTGATCGTCAAACAAATACTTGTCCATATCATGAGAAATATTGCTGTGAAATAGCATTATTTAAAACAAAATGGCCATCAAAGATGCACAATGTCTAAGAAATGTGCCAAGTTTGAACAAAATCCACCCAGAAACACCCAAGATCTAGTTCTGGAATTCCAGAAATGCTAGATTTTTGATGGTTTTTCATTACAAAAATGGCCACTTTTTGCCCTTTTTTAAATGGATCGTCAAACCAATACATCTGTATGTCTATGACATGATGTATAATAAATATATAAAATTTGAATATGGTCAGTCAAAGAAAGTCAGAGATACATGTATGGAACTAGAACCGCATTCATTAAAACAAAATGGCCACCAGTCAGCCATTTTGAATCTGATCTGAAAAACAAAATGAAGTGAAATAAAACTGGTGTGCATATGTATAATATTATGTTTGATGTGTGTGAGAAGTTTGAATGTAATTGGTCCAGGCATGTCTGAGATATAGGTTGTACGCATACACACATGCACGAACACATGCTCAGCAGGGACTAAAAATACAATTTTTTTTTAGTTTGTTATATAATGGCAAGCAGATAAGAACATACATGTACACATGCACATGCATGTAGAGTTTCATTTACATTACGTCTACGAGACCACTACAGTGCAATACTTGGAACAAATTGAGGGAACACAAATCATATATTTATCAAATGAATTCATAGTGTACAATTTCTGAAGAAAAATCACTATAAACTTTGTAATCAAAAAAACAAGTGCTAGAAATTTAATGTTTCTCAGTCTGGAATAAGTCATTAAAATTGTCTCATGTTTACACTATAGGGAGCATTTTTCAAGATTAGATTATTTCCAACCAATTAATGTCATTTAACGAAAGATAAAACATGTAATCAAATTAGTTGTTCCTATGAGCATTCAATCGAGACATAGATGTAAACCCGAATGCCAACATGCATTGACAGATTAACAGTATAATGGTTGTGACATTAAAGATGTAAATATACGCAAAGCAAAGATGAAACAAGTAATTGAATTACGTAGTACTCGGGAGTTCTCAAGTTTAAGAAATATATAAAGTTTTAATATGAAAGTGTCAGAGAATGTCAGAGATATGGCTCAAAAACTGCATTCATTCACTAACTAAAGACAAAATGGCCACCAGTCAGCCATTTCGAGTTCGATCTGAGAAACAAAGTGAAGTGCAGCATTAAGATCCCATAAAGATCAATGTACATACATGTACCAAGTTTGAACAAAATTTTGATGATTTTCAACACCAAAACAACTACAATTCGACCATCTTGGATTGGATAACCAAATAAATAAATATGCACATGTGCGACATGATGTATATGTGAAGATGAACATGATCGGTCTCCACATGTTGGAGATGTATAGCTCCAGAGCTGCATTTTTTAAAACAAAATGCCACACATTTTAAGCAAATTAGTTCTTAATCAAATCAAAGTCTAATTTGAGAATGGCCGTACCAACTCTTATGATTTTCTACATAACAACTGTGTGGCACATGTATTTGTGCTGTCACTTTATAATGAATATCTTCAGAAAATATAAATATTGTATTAATGTAGTAGACAAGTTCAATGGCTATTTGACAGAACTCACCAATATCTGCTACAGAAATTCCCTTTTTCCTAGGAATTTATATGATATCGTTAGTCAGCAAATTTTAGAGTTTAAACCATCCATATTTTATTTAAAATATATTTTCTGTTCAAACCTTCGCCTGATTGAAGGGTGTTGTTTTGTGTGTTTACATCGAGTGGCAGATGGAGCCAAGAGGTTAAAAAGAATCTAGAATTGAATAGTTATTCGACTTTGCATAGTTATTAAATGCAGATACTGGAAATTACTGTATTTTGAAATTCCAAAAATTATAGCAGTAGATGTAGAATCAATCATAAGCATTGAAAAAATTCTTACCGGCATGTATCGGGAATGTTCTTTCTAGTTCTAAAGATTTCCTCATTTGATTTTCAAAAACTTCAAGACAAGAGGTAAAAGCGTTCCAAAGTCTCTCGTAGTCTTTTCTGTCAGTCTTAACTGAAAAGTCACTGAAATTAAAGAGAGGAAAGGATTACAGACAATGTAACCACTAAACATTGAGATAAGGGGGTAACCAAACCAAGGAAACAATGACTTTGCAATTTCTCTAGAGTGGGAACCAACAAACAACATAGCACAAATTGAAAGTTCCTACCTTCATAGGAAGGAAGTACATACTTTATTCGTATTCACTCTCAAAACTATGAACATTTATGGATAGCTCCAATAGTCCTGTGCATATAGTGTACATTTTTTTCAACATTTATCACTATTTTCAATTTATGCAAAAAATATATGATGTCGCAGTACTTGTTCAAGTTGGGTTAATTGAGTCGGCCATCTTGATTTACAAATCAAAGTGACATGCATAAACTTTCTGTATTGTTCTGAGCATGTTAAAATACCTGATTTAGGTTTTTTTTTACAACCAAAATGATCAGCAGTCGGCCATCCTTGATAAGATGACAAATTTATTATTATTCATTTATTTATTATATTATGTAATTCATTGGTATAAAGCATGAATTGAAATGAATAGAATTCTTCAAAAGCAAAATTGAAAAACACATCTGGTTTCAGACATGTCAAAATAGCTGATACCTGAAGAGAATCAGTCAAATATTTCTGAGATACAGCTCCCAATGCACAGACACACAGAAATTTAACAAACATCTGCTGAAGGTCTCCATTGACATCAACAGGCAATTTGCTAAACCATAAGTCCGATCTCTGTATAATTAATTTTAATTTAGTGAAGTTTAAAGAAATTTTCCTATTTAACACATGTATGCATGAAACTCCAAAAAATTCTGAACAATGCGAGAGACAGTTTTTTTGAACTTTGTAAGTCAGGGAAAAACATATTTTCAAAGTGAACATTTCACTGATTGAGAATCTTAAATTTCGGCAACATTATGTTAGAAGCATTTATTGGCACGTCAATTACGAAATAAGTAAGTTATGATAATCAAAATAATTGTAAGTTTCTTGACAGTAGCTGAACACTACCAAACATTTCCAAGATTTATTTGTGATTGCCAGGCAGCTATTCTTCTCCCAATAATGATGTGCCAAATATGAATAAATATGGTCCATAAGCAAGATGGTACTAATAATTTGTAGAATTACATTGTACCCCCAAGTCTACATATGAAAATTTGTGCTTACAACTGGTTTTAATTTGTGTCGAAAACGTGCACAGAATGGTCGTTTTGTGCACGTTTCAACACGGCTTATCAGCTACCTCAAGTGCAAAATCCATGAAATAAACAACCAATGTCAATAGAGTAGCCTAGGTGTTAAAAATGGATTAAGTACTGGCAAACCAACTGCTGCATAGGTATGTCTATATAAAACGCTTGCTTTTTGGTTGATTTAGTCATCTTTTTTGAACTCAGAAGCCCCCAAAACCTAATATTGCATGTGAGAACAAAACAAATCCGTCAAGATTTCACGTTTTCTCCATAAAAGGGATGCTGGCTGTTCCCTCTCTGGACTCCCTGCCCGCGTATACTAGTACCGGATTCCGCCGTAAATTCACCCATCCAAAAAATCGCCCTGGGCGATTTCTAGGCTGGTAGGCGCTTATTTGGGGTTCAAAATTTCAAAAAATAATCATCAAATATTTTTTTGAGTACTTCTATTTTCATTAAAAAATCCACCCACGTGACTTTCAACACTGGCAGTTGGGCCACCCAGGACGAAAGAAATCATTGCAGAATTGAAAATAACTAATAATTCTTGCTGAATTAAAAAGTAGACCGCTTGAAATTTCATTACAATGTCACCCAGTGTCATTTTTCAAATACACTTGTTTTTATTTTATTGGTAACGAACGTATATTCTAAACGAAGTTTCAAATATAAACAAAAACAAACTAACTGCAATGCGTACACAGTCACTTGGGGGCTGAAAATCAATAAATTCTTATTTTTTTTTTAAAAATCATTCGCTATACGCATATAAATAAACAAGTTGTGAAACATAGCACCTAGTAAATTGACACCTTGTCAGTTTCAAATTTCGATTTTTTTACCTTAAAATGCGAAACAAAAAGTTTAGAGGGGATCGGGTGTACGTTAATAACCATTGTTCATAATTGCTAACTTGGTTTTATTCAAAACTGCACAAATCCCGCGTTTTCTGATGATATCGGACGATTTCATGAACGAAAATGGCCAGCAGCCAGAATCAAGGGGGATTTGCACAGAGTTCTGGGTAAATCAAGTGCACATACTCATTTTCAGCCAATCAGATGTGCCGTAATAGTGAGTATTTCCTTGATTTACCCAGATCTAATTCTTGAAACAAAGGTTTATTTTTTTCGACACAGATCTCTAGTCAAGAGGGTGGCGTTTGGACGTAACCCTGGAGTTAAACAGGGCCCAATTGATAGGGAGTAAAATACAAAAGTGGAAGAGCTGTCCATGCATTGACCAATCACAAAAGAGCTCCCAAACACCAACGAAATATTTGTTGTTGTACTTAACAAAGGGGTTTGGCACTAAAAACAATGGAACGTTTATAGGCTTAATGTTGGATTTAGATCGTTTTATAATCCGAATCCCCTAGAAAGAGTTGTAAGCACAAATTTTCATATGTACAATAGCAATGCCATTTCTTTAATAATATTAGTAACAAGGTAAATATAAAAATTAAATTCAAGTCATTTTTAATGACATAGTCCCTGTTTGTTTTATAGGCATGAAATATGCATGACTACTGAGGCAATATCATAATATCAACAACATGTATGAGATCAGCCATTTAAATGGATTTGATTGTGACAAAAATGACCTGGGTTTGTCCAATATAATGTCTGATGTCTTTGGAAGTTTGTACTTGTTGATCCAGGCATGTCAAAGATGCATTATTTTTTTTAAACCCAATCACAAAAATAAAATGACGTGCATCAAGGTCCTGTTGTGTTCAAAGTATGTACCAAATTTAAACCAAATCCATCATCAACACTGTTCTGATTCATGATCTGTTTCCAGAGTTGTGAAAAAAAAAAATAATCCGTACAATTACATTGCATTCGCAGGTCTATAAATATAACATTGATAACAGCTTGAAACCGTGACAATGTATATCTCCAACACATGTACCTTGTCCTTTCTTCAATAGTATCAGGAACAAGGTAAATGTGAATAGAAAATTTATTTTTAATATAATCTGTACAACTACATTGTACCGTCAAGGTGAATTCTAGACCCGATAATGTTCAGAATAAAATCTATAAAGAAAATTATGAATTGAATGTACAGCCTTGTAGCCATGGAAACATGTTTTATCACAGTCAACATTGATATAATTACTGTTAAATGCAAAAATACATCGAAAGCAATTTAAACAATATTCTATGATTTAGAATTTAATCTATTTTAGAGAATAGACACCAGAAGTCAATGTGTGATGACAAACGACATGACAGTTTAGAATATGCTTCCCTACACATCACTGGTTTTAAATATCATGTTTCTATTCCCATATGTGAATTGAGTACAATGAGTACACTTTGGATGTAAAAGTGATACAAATCAATCATGTTACGATGTATGAATGTATAACAAGCAGCTTGATGCCTGTCAATTTTTATACTCGTATTGCTACATGAAATGTATCACACTGTGGTCACTTTGCAGAAGCAATTGAAACACAATATTTAAATCCAGTGAAAGGTACATATTAACGATAATTTAAGTCCATTGGTTGTGCAGCACTCATTTGATTTTCATGAAAACAAACCATGTATTTTACACATGTATGTATATGTTGTATAAAATGTAACACGACATTGTGGCACTACAAATGTGCATTGTATGTGGGACTAAGTTGCACTCTGTATGTGAACATTGTATGTGGCACTCTGTGTGTGTGTAAGTGAACATTGTATGTGGCACTCTGTGTGTGTAAGTGAACATTGTATGTGGCACTCCATCGGTGTAAGTGAACATTGTACGTGGCACTCTGTGTATGTGAACATTGTATGTGGCACTTCATCTGTGTATGTGAACACTGTATGTGGCACTCCATCTGTGTATATGAACACTATGCGGTACTCCATCTGTGTATGTGAACATTGTATGTGGCACTCCATCTGTATGTGAACACTATATGTGGCACTCCATCTGTATGTGAACACTATATGTGGCACTCCGTCTGTGTATGTGAACACTATGTGGTACTCCGTCTGTGTATGTGAACACTATGTGGTACTCCATATGTGTATATGAACACTGTGTGGCACTCTGTGTGTATATGTGAACACTGTGTGGCTCCATCTCCGTATGTGAACACTACAATGTATGTGTGGCACTCTGTATATGTGAACACTATGTGGTACTATGTATGTGAACACTATGTGTGGCAGTCTGTGTGTGTATGTGAACACTATGTGGTGCTCCATCTGTGTATGTGAACAATATATGGCACTCCATCTGTGTATGTGAACACTATGTGTGGCACTATGTGTGTGTATGTGAACACTATATGTTGCTCCATCTGTGTATGTGAACACTGGTACTCCGTCTGTGTATGTGAACACTATGTGGTGCTCCATCTGTGTATGTGAACACTATGTGGTACTCCATCTGTGTATGTGAACACTATGTGTGGCGCTCTGTATGTGAACACTGTAGCAGTCTGTGTGTGTATGTGAACACTATGTGGTGCTCCATCTGTGTATGTGAACACTATGTGTGACAATCCATATGTGTATGTGAACACTATGTGTGGCACTCCATCTGTGTATGTGAACACTATGTGGTACTCCATCTCTGTATGTGAACACTATGTGTGGCACTCTCTGTGTGTGTATGTGTGTGTGAACACTATGTGGTGCTCCATCTCTGTATGTGAACACCATGTGGCACTCCATCTGTGTATGTGAACACTATGTGTGGCACTCCATCTGTGTATGTGAACACTATGTGTGGCACTCCATCTGTGTATGTGAACACTATGTGTGGCACTCCATCTGTGTGTGGACACTATGTGGTGCTTCATCTCTGTATGTGAACACCATGTGTGGCACTCCATCTGTGTATGTGAACACTATGTGGTGCTCCATCTCTGTATGTGAACACTGCGTAGCACTGTGTGTGTGTATGTGTGTGAACACTATGTGTTGCTCCATCTCTGTATGTGAACACTATGTGTTGCTCTATCTCTGTATGTGAACACTATGTGTGGCACTCTGTGTGTGTATGTGAACACTCTGTGTGGCACTGTGTGTGTGTGAACACTATATGTGGCAGTGTGTGTGTGAACACTATGTGGTGCTCCATCTCTGTATGTGAACACTATGTGTGGCACTCTATGTGTGTGTGTGAACACTATGTGGCACTTCATCTGTGTATGTGAACACTGTATGTGGCACTCCATCTGTGTATATGAATACTATGCGGTACTCCATCTGTGTATGTGAACATTGTATGTGGCACTCCATCTGTATGTTAACACTATATGTGGCACTACGTCTGTGTATGTGAACACTATGTGGTACTCTGTCTGTGTACGTGAACACTATGTGGTACTCCATATGTGTATATGAACACTGTGTGGCACTCTGTGTGTATATGTGAACACTGTGTGGCTCCATCTCCGTACGTGAACACTACAATGTATGTGTGGCACTCTGTATATGTGAACACTATGTGGTACTATGTATGTGAACACTATGTGTGGCAGTCTGTGTGTGTATGTGAACACTATGCGGTGCTCCATCTATGTATGTAAACAATATATGGCACTCCATCTGTGTATGTGAACACTATGTGTGGCACTCCATCTGTGTGTGAACACTATGTGGTGCTTCATCTCTGTATGTGAACACCATGTGTGGCACTCCATCTGTGTATGTGAACACTATGTGGTGCTCCATCTCTGTATGTGAACACTATGTGTGGCACTGTGTGTGTGTGTGTGTGAACACTATGTGTTGCTCCATCTGTGTATGTGAACACTGTGGTACTCCGTCTGTGTATGTGAACACTATGTGGTGCTCCATCTGTGTATGTGAACATTATGTGGTACTCCATCTGTGTATGTGAACACTATGTGTGGCGCTCTGTATGTGAACACTGTAGCAGTCTGTGTGTGTATGTGAACACTATGTGGTGCTCCATCTGTGTATGTGAACACTATGTGTGACACTCCATATGTGTATGTGAACACTATGTGTGGCACTCCATCTGTGTATGTGAACACTATGTGGTGCTCCATCTCTGTATGTGAACACCATGTGGCCTTCCATCTGTGTATTTGAACACTATGTGTGGTACTCCATCTGTGTATGTGAACACTATGTGTGGCACTCCATCTGTGTGTGAACACTATGTGGTGCTTCATCTCTGTATGTGAACACCATGTGTGGCACTCCATCTGTGTATGTGAACACTATGTGGTGCTCCATCTCTGTATGTGAACACTATGTGTAGCACTGTGTGTGTGTATGTGTGTGAACACTATGTGTTGCTCCATCTCTGTATGTGAACACTATGTGTTGCTCCATCTCTGTATGTGAACACTATGTGTGGCACTCTGTGTGTGTATGTGAACACTGTGTGGCACTGTGTGTGTGTGTGTGTGAACACTATGTGGTGCTCCATCTCTGTATGTGAACACTATGTGTGGCACTCTGTGTGTGTGTGTATATGAACACTATGCGGTACTCCATCTGTGTATGTGAACATTGTATGTGGCACTCCATCTGTATGTGAACACTATATGTGGCACTACGTCTGTGTATGTGAACACTATGTGGTTCTCTGTCTGTGTATGTGAACACTATGTGGTACTCCATATGTGTATATGAACACTGTGTGGCACTCTGTGTGTATATGTGAACACTGTGTGGCTCCATCTCCGTACGTGAACACTACAATGTATGTGTGGCACTCTGTATATGTAAACACTATGTGGTACTATGTATGTGAACACTATGTGTGGCAGTCTGTGTGTGTATGTGAACACTATGTGGTGCTCCATCTATGTATGTGAACAATATATGGCACTCCATCTGTGTATGTGAACACTATGTGTGGCACTATGTGTGTGTATGTGAACACTATGTGTTGCTCCATCTGTGTATGTGAACACTGGTACTCCGTCTGTGTATGTGAACACTATGTGGTGCTCCATCTGTGTATGTGAACATTATGTGGTACTCCATCTGTGTATGTGAACACTATGCGTGGCACTCTATATGTGAACACTGTGTGGCAGTCTGTGTGTGTATGTGAACACTATGTGGTGCTCCATCTGTGTATGTGAACACTATGTGTGACACTACATTTGTGTATGTGAACACTATGTGACACTGTGTGTGCATGTGAACACTATGTGGCACTCCATATGTGTATGTGAACACTGTGTGGCACTCCATCTGTGTATGTGAACACTATGTGGTACTCCATCTATGTATGTGAACACTATGTGTGGCACTCTCTCTGTGTGTATGTGTGTGTGAACACTATGTGGTGCTCCATCTCTGTATGTGAACACTATGTGGCCTTCCATCTGTGTATGTGAACACTGTGTGGCACTCCATCTGTGTATGTGAACACTATGTGTGGCACTCCATCTGTGTGTGTGAACACTATGTGGTGCTTCATCTCTGTATGTGAACACCATGTGTGGCACTCCATCTGTGTATGTGAACACTATGTGGTGCTCCATCTCTGTATGTGAACACTATGTGTGGCACTGTGTGTGTGTATGTGTGTGAACACTATGTGTTGCTCCATCTCTGTATGTGAACACTATGTGTTGCTCCATCTCTGTATGTGAACACTATGTGTGGCACTCTGTGTGTGTATGTGAACACTGTGTGTGGCACTGTGTGTGTGTGAACACTATGTGTGGCACTCTGTGTGTGTGCGTGTGAACACTATGTGGTGCTCCATCTCTGTATGTGAACACTATGTGTGGCACTCTGTGTGTGTATGTGAACACTATGTGTGGCACTCTGTGTGTGTATCATGATAGCATTGAAAGATAAACGGTTTACAGAGAGTATATGACTTTACAATGATCCTTACATAATGGCAGAAAATATCCCCTTGTGTAGTGAACAATATATCACCATAGAAACTATGCAATACCAGTATAACAATATATATCACATATCAGCAAAATTTGTTTGTATTCTTGAAAAGTTAGTGGCAACAATTACATCTACCAAATTTTAATAATTTTAATAATATAGCACAATATGAAATGTACATGCACCCAAACCAACCATGTAGAAAATGTTACTCACTTCCTGAGATGTGGCATAAGTCTGTATTTATTGTGTTTGGCAAGATCGTGAGCTTTCCGCCGCACTTTCCTGATTTCATCACGTAAAGATTCAGAGTCATGTGACCCACCAAGTGTAATAATCAAATTCCGATAATACGCAGTGGCACTGTTGAATTCTCTGACAAGCTGTAAAATGGAGAAATAAACAATTATAAAGATATAATAAATATCATGCACATTAAACTACATGTAGTTATCTACATGTAAGCAGAATTTGCCTAGAAAATTATTAGATATATGTATGTTAAATGAACATGAATATTACATAAATTCCAATGGCTATTGAAAACATCTTGACCAATCACAATGCCTTAGTCAATGAATGCCACAATTATTAGTAAGAAATTTAACCAATCATAAAAATGCATACTGTAAAATCATTTATTTTCAGTAACATTTAATTGCACTATTTTAATGTTTTGAGCATATTATAAATAATATAATATAATATAATATAAATATAAATATAATATATGTTAAAGCATATGTGTTTTAAGTTCATGAATTTGTCAAGGAAACAATCAGTTATATTGTTCATGCAGATTAAATAGTGAAATATAGCGAAAATAGCGAAATTAAAACCCAATGAATAATTAATGCTTTTACAGTACTACAATTTAAACTTTGTACCAAATTTGATGATGATTAAATTTCAGTCAATCTTTTTGAAAGGAAAAGACACACAGACATGAGAAATGAGCTTGATTCTCAAGCCAATCAAAACTTAAATTCTGCGAATTTTTTAGGGGTAAAGGCGATCTATAAAAAATATTCTCACCATTCTCTCGGGGAAAATCGTTAAATGCATTGCCACCTCTAACAGCAGTGAGAATAAAAATGCATTCACACAAACTGCTTTGTATTTTATAGACTTTTCTATTTTAATGTTTTGATGTATATTCACACTTTAAAAATGTAACAAATTATTTTATATACCAGGTGCAAAAAATAAAGTGTGGTTTTCACAACACATGCTGTAAAATCTTCAATGTATATTGGCAAGTCAAATTTTAATCCTGTCACAAAAAGCAACAACGTCACTACATAACCAATTATAATTATATTTATGTGAGAGTGCTGTTTACCCTTCTTGAGTGTGTGAGGGCGCTGTTCATCCTTGAGTGTTATTTATATTTTCTTTAAATATTCATATTTCTACCTTTGAGATGTATTGTAAATTCTTTATTTTTATTATTAATTTCTGTAGAGGATATGTAATGTATTATTTCAATGTATTTTGTAATTTTGAGAAAACACTTCTTTTGCCGAGGTCATGTGACATGACAGACTCCATCTTGTAAACTTCTGTTTGCAAACACTTTTCGTTTGCTGTCTGCAATTTCACCCAGTTTCAATCTTTATCAGTCTCTAGAAGTT